TTTTGACCTTTTATCCAAATCTGCCTTTTTCAAGCAATAAATAACAGAATATACTTTCTTTGATCTACCTCTAAACAAAATTTCTTGTTTGCCTTAAATAAAAAAATAAGCTTATTACATTTTTCCGCGTTGATATTAAGTGATTTGCGTATTTCAGAGTTTAAAGTACCTATCTGGAAGGTGTAGCTAATTACGCAGTCGCGCAATGATTGCATACGCAAACGCCGAAGATGGGACGACGAGCTCGTGCACGAGGATCTTCTCGGTGGACGTTACAAACAGCGGGGGAGGGGACTTCTCTTCCAGCCTTCGCCACGTGAGAAAGTGAAAGCAAAAGGCGAGCGTTCGAGGAGGCATCCTCTTCGAGGCGAACTCGACTCGTCTGTCTCTGGTGATCATCCTGAAAATCGCAACTCCCCGTGCCACCGAAGCTATAAGCGTCTCGTTGATCAACATCGGGGACTAAAGAATCCCACTCCTGGATCTTGTCGAGTCAGTCGTTGCACCATTTACGAGATACTCATGTCGAATTTTAAAAGAGTTAGCTATCGGTAGTCGGTGTTGAAAATCTAGCTTAAAGAAATAAATCAATTTGGCGTACTAATTGGGTAAGAGTGTTCTTAGCGCCTGTTTAAACATACTTACGAGCGATTCAAGCGGAGAACAAGCTGGTTAATTAAAGGTCTGATAGACGATTATGTTTTCTCGGTTCCGAGGCAAGGTCCTTTTGTTAGAAGTAAGAATCGTGTAAAGAGATATGGGATTTTGAAATAGGCCATTGATACAGAGAGAACGTGATTTACAAGTCGAAAATCTTGTAGCGAGTACAATTAACGCGACTCCCAAGGTCTTAATTACGGGGCAGCTCGTTGTTGTGACAGAGTGTGTAACTTCATGCGAAAAAGGGAATTATCCGCTCGTCGCTGTCCTCTTATGTAATCCACTCTTCGGTTCGATGCTACGTCGTCTTTAAATTTTCGAGTTTCTTCTATTCCTAATTCACCTGAGACTTTTTACCTTTATATTCGCGACTCACGTTTCATTTGTGCAATAATATATACATATTCCGAGAGAGATCTTTCTCATGGCATAGAGACCTTATTGACGAGTTTGAAAGAATTTTCCAATAGCAAACGATGGGAAGTGCTCTACTTTTTATCAGAAGCGCTGCTCGCACAACGGTTGCCACCTTTCTCAATATTGTTCCCCATAAAAAGCAGAACAATCGATATTTCCCACTAATGGAGCCTGATTCTATTTGGAAATCGTGATGATCTGTGCCATCTGGTGGACGTTGCTCGCTCGATCAGCTTCCGATTTGATAATGGCATCGGGTCGTCGCGATGCAGCGCCGTCAAGCGGCGTAACTTTCACCAAAGCACACACGGGGACAATATGGTGTGTCGTGCGTGCGCGAATCTCCGAACAAAGTTGCATAAATACGGAGTCTCCACGGCCTGGAACGTGGAAGTTATACAAGCGGCCGGTTCTGACAGACTTTCCAGACGACTGGCTGGATTCCTCCGCCTCCGAGGCGAGATCTTGGCTGGTGAACTTCGTGGGGAAGTCTTGACTTTGGGATAGAAAAATTATCACCTTTCGAGAACTTCCTGTTTGTCAGATCTGTTCATTTTGTTTTTGACATTTTACTTGACATTTACCTGGCGATGATTGTCAACACTGTTTAACAAGTGTCGTTGATGGAGCTTTCATTTCTCCGAATAGATGAAAACTGAATTCTTCTAATATTATCGAGAGAAGTATCTTGCATTTCATCGATATTTATCGATAAAAATAATGATTTATGAACTTTATAAACGAATCATTTTTCTTTCTTCTGTTAAATAACTGTTATGTAATTGTGATTTTCATTGGCTATTCGAGACAAAATAGTGTGGTTGCCAACAAGGAAGGGGAGTGTACGACGTATGTGCAACTCTCGTGAGATTTCCGCCAGGGGTCTACAAGACGACGAGTGAGAGAGGCTCTTTAATTAGTTACTGGTCTAACAATGCTACTGTAGAATTGAATTTATACTTAACGATATCTAGAAACCCTTGATGTTCATGCAAATTGCTGTATAAAATAATTAAACAGTTCTTGGTAAAAAGTTTCACAAGTTTCAGATGAAAACGATATTAAGATCTTAGAACGGAGCAGAGCGTAAACAGTGGAGGGAAATTGATGAAAGTGCGGGATGTTGCGTGATCAGAGACGAGTTTCATTAGAAAGAGCAGATCAAAAGGCTAATTGGGAGAAGCCGTAGGAAGCGTGCATTCATTACTGGAGAAATGGTGCAACTTTGCTGTATTTTAATTACATATTTCGTAGAAAATCTCACGAAATTACTAGCATGTTCTTTTATGAGTCTTTTGCCTAGCAAATCTGTTTTTGATACTTTGAATTTACTTGTTTATTTTGTACCTTATAGAAACTCACGAAACTCAGACTTCGATAGGAAATGATAGTGCGTGTTTTCGACAGGAACGAAACGCGGAGATGGCTTTGGTGTCGCAATCGTGAAATCGCACAATCAGTTTTGTGCTACGAATGTGTCGTTGCGGACTATAATCTGGCACAAGGATGCGTTGCTCGCTCGGCTGGATCCTGTCGTTTCGTTTTCCCTCCTAATACCGATACATTTCTCTCTCTCTCTCTCTCTCTCTCTTTCTCTTTCTTTTAAGCACGGTATTTCCATAGGGCCAACACGATTCGACTTTCTCTGATGTTTTATCGGTGTTAAACATCTTTGAATATCGTTCAGCCTACGGCAGTCCAGTTGAAAGAGATTGCCCCAAAGGCATTGTCATTCTACTACTTTCGCATGCTGATTTTTTCCTCTGTTACCCCTTCAATGCATCAACTACTTTCGCGATACTGATGTCCCTGAAGAGTGCGAAGTCGAATGATGCGTAGACAATGGCACATGCACTGTTCTCGATTCTCTTTGTCTATAGTTCCTTTTGCATGACTTCTCGAGACTTCTGCCAACCTCTTGAATTAAGTAGTTCCGATCGCGAACAATCTTTAGGGAAATTTTCACACTATCCAATTGGATGATACGAATAGAGAATTCTAATGAAAGAAATTTCAGTGTATTCATTTGTATAATAAAAAAATGTATTTCCCAAAGCAATAATTCGTCTACACTGGATATCGTATAAAGGAAATGAAAAATCATGCATCCACGATACATTATCAAAATTTGATCAATGACCTGCGTCCCGTAGAGCGTTACGAAATCGATAATTAGTGTCATGCACAGTCCAGCGATTTTTAAGTAGGCTTTCGTTTCGGAGAACCTTGAGGAAGACGAGACAGGAAAGCTACGCAGGCGAGTCGATTGAAGGAAGTTCTAATTGGTTGGAGGCATATCCTGGAATAATCGTGGGGCCGTTATTTTTTTTTACCAAGCAAAATTCTCGTGGGAGGTTGCCGGTACTCTCACACAACAATCATTTTATTATACCGCTAGGTATGCGCGCCGTCAGGTCCCGTAATTGTTGGTAAAGCGAGTTGCTCGACTAACACGTACGATCGCGTAACACGCGTTATTGTCAGGCGGATTTTTTTCCTTCGTGGCATCTTCCTGCCATGGAACCAGGAAACTGAGCTTGGTTGCGCAATGGGAAGCGCTCTCCGGGAGATAGGATCTCGAGGAAAATGCGAGGACGATTATTTAGCTGGCTCTGATTGTTCGTTTAAGTTGTCCCTGTTCCGCTTTTGCACAATTTTCCCGGTGAATCTGATAGGAAAGCCAGGGTTACTACTATTTTCAGCATTATTATAATATCAAAAGACTTTTTACGTACAGTAAAAATAAGTAGTTAAAATACTGTTTGAGTAAAAAGTACATCATAAAATGGTCCTAGTCATTTATTACATCCCCCCTATAACCTTTCAAGCGTGGTGCATCTTTCAGTGGAAGAACATCTAACCTATAAATCACAAACAAAGTTCATCCACTCTTTCATTCGCTTCGTAAACGTTTATATTGTTACTACAGATTGTCATTTTTACCATCGTTGACATGGAGATGTTTTCATAAAACTACATGATAGCTTATCAATCGTTAGCGCCACTGCAGTGATGGAGAATTACATTGATCTTCTCGTAGTCAATTAAATTTGAACGTAAGGGACATACTAATGACCAGCAAGCGTTCAAAGACCGCGCAATATGTGGCTATTACATAAGTTAATCATCAGGTAAACAATCTATGGCACGATATTCGGCAAACGAGAGGGAATAGAAATGCTTTGACTCATTCACTTGGTCTTCTGCGATCAGCATAATCCTTGAATGCATAACCTTTTGATGTAGTCAGTGAGCATCCTCGGGGTTCTGTTTAAATGCCAGAGGAGTAACATCACGACACGCTCATTGATCTAAGATGGTATTGGATGTATCGTAGAAGTATATACTTGGAGAAGAAGTAATCCTTTTCTGTCAAAGACATCTTGTTTTTGCCGCAGTCGTAGAATTTCTTATTCTAGTCTTGAAAATAATTAGGTATTTTAATAAATATTTCTATATATATTCTTCAGATTGTAAATACCCTTTAAATTATTATTTTGTATAGCTATCTTTCTTGTATAGCCGTTTTCGGAAATTTTATAAAATTTATAAATTTGAACTTTGTAAAAATAAAAAACTCGCAGTTAATTTTAAATAATTTATTATATAGAAATATATTTTCCATTTACATTTTTTTTTCTTGGTATTGTAATTAATAAAAAGGCTATTGTGATTATCGATGTTATTTACATTTCGTTTTGTATGATAATTTACATTGTGGAGCCATCTAGCGAAAGAAGGTTCAAGCTAAGAAAGTACTGTGTTGATAACTCATGAGTGACCCAATCAAAAGCACATAAGCATATATAAAGTAACTTGAGTTATGAAAATACGTTTTATTGTAAAAATAAAAAACCTATACATTGAAATACTTTTTTTTATAGTATGTACAGATTCATTGTTAGTATAGAATATATATAATACTATCTTAAGAATGCGTCAGTAGGTACGCTTGAAGATTTATAGTCCTTCATAAAATTCGAAACTGCCTTCCTTATGTTCCATTTAGCTTCTTCTAAATATGTCTGGCACCAATCGTTGTTCAATGTTGTTATTTCTGTAAATTTGTTTAATAATTCCTTCTTCTCGTTGACGCTAAAACACGATGGAAAAATTTCCTCATAAGAAATCTTTGTTTCTAATCTATTTGGTGAAATTTCTTCTAAAGTAGAATCTACATGGTATTGGTCGTTTATGATATTGTATTCATTGTCTAGACCAGCTTGGATAATAAACGTTCTATTAAATACGAGAACTTGCGACGAGTTATTCATTGTTTTAAACAGTCCACTAACTGATATTACTAAACATTTACCATCGTCAAACATTAGATCACATATAAAAGAACTTTTATCATGATAAGACCGTGGTAATCTTTTTAAACTATTTAAAATATTATCTTGTCCATAATAAAGATGCTGTCGTTTTTTATTTAAATCTACATTTTTTAATAAATTCCTACTTGCTGTAAACTGAGTAAGATTTCTTTTATGTGCTACAGATGTTGGAATTCCAAAGCTCAAGGAATAAAAAGCATTTTTATAATATAATCCTTTTAAAACCATTCTATCACTCTGATCATACAGAGTGAAAAAGTGATTAATAAATTTGATAACTAGTTCTTCTCTAGATTCATTCTTGAAGTAATTGGTGTATATCAATGGTAGACCAAATGTTCTAATATAAACTCCATCCAGTTGAATCAAATTCGGACAATATTTCATTGCAGAGTCTATATACTGTTTTGAACTAGAATAGTTTTCACAGAGGGGATTTCCATCTAGCCATAATTTTAGTATACACAAATTTTTTAGCGGAGTAAGTGTCTCCATAGCAATTAAATTATTATGTCTTAAGTCCAGATATTTTATGGAAGTTAGGCTAGAAGTTTCTATAGGAGTTAGGTTGAAAAGTTCATTTTTCTGAAGATTCAAGTGTTCCACTGTGGCAATTGCGGTCTTTGTTAATTTTAAAACATGATTGAAAGTCCTTTGCTGGGATAATGGGCAATAAACAGTTTTAGACATATCAGGATCTTTATGAAACTGTTCCAAGTCTAAGGTTCTGTTATTAGGATCATATTTCTTGGTTAAAGCAGTTAAAAGTAATGGCTGAAGATTAATTTTCAAATCATGAATGGATGTAAATCCTAATGTTATAATCAGGATTAGTGGTCCTCCGTCTGGATTCTTGATTATTAAATTAGTCTTACATAGTTTGTCAAGAGCATGAGCACAATTACGTGCTAGGAAAAAAGTATCTTCTCCGTTAGTTTGATACTTAACAGGAATTAATTCTGCTGGTTCAATAGCATTTAATATTGCTTTCAATACAGTTTCTTTATCATATTGAGTTCCTTTCACAATTTTAATTTTATGCCATACATCTGAACGACCCATTAATGTTCTTTCTTGGAACATTGAACCACCCATGCTTATTTTTATTGCAATGGAGGAATCCAGTTGCATTGGTACAATTGGTAAACTTGTTCGCTGCATTTTTTATTTATTCTTTATTCTTTATTCTTTAACATGATCCAAATAAATACATTGGTATTTCTTGATAATTTTTCTAGTATTATGGAAAATTACATATTTCTGAAATGAAATAATTTCTATTATTTACATTGTTAGGTTAGATTTTTCTATAGAAAAAAAATATATCTCACGTAAGATAACGTTTAAACAATTATATTACCTCTTTTCGGCGGTATTCATGGAAGAAACAAAAGAATTTATTTTTGTTTCAATTTTACTTGTTAACAATATTATTGAGTGAAGTTGATAATGTATATCGGATCAAACATATGACAGATAATATTACATTCATTGACATCTGTTGACTGAAATAGTAAGAAAGAAGTTACCCCACTTACTTGCTGTCGATAAACTCTACTTCTTTAAATCTTTCATACAAAATAATCAAGAAATATAATTATTCTGTAATTTTACGCCAATAACACGATTTCTCAAAAGCAATAAGCTTAATGAAATTGAAATAATTTTATCTAAAATCTAGTGAGACTTTAAATTAAATTATCGAGTATCAGAATTGATTAACGAACTTGGGTTCGATTTACATTGTTATTTGTGACTACATGTACCGGAAATGTGAACATTTTTATGATCGGAAAGTATACTAAATTAGATAGCGAATGACGAACATTGCTCATGCAAGAGATGGGACATTAAAGAAACCCATTTATTTTTCCCAGTTTACAACCTCTTCATAGATTTCAATGTGGGTACGATGCAGTTTTTTTTTGCAATCAGTTTACGAGTAGCTCGATAACTACTGGCGTACAGTTTTGACCATTGTGGATTCAGCATTACAGTTAGATTTATTTGTAACATTTCATTCTTTACAATAAGAGCTAAATTCGAAGTGCATTTTACGCGTTGGTTAGTATACTCTGAAACATTATCTTTTCAGATCGCGGTCAATTTGCTCAATAAAATTGGAAATTATATCAGTGTTATGTGCAATCTTTAACTCCCTGTCGATAGACATATATATTACGTCATTAAACATTTGCATAATACTAGAGAGATAAGTGCAATAAGATGATTTACAATGATTAATGCAAATGATACATGTTTGTCTGGATGTAAAATCAATTAACATTTTATTACTATACATGCTATATACTTAGTTATATATCGGATCAAGGGATAGTTAAATAAAGTGTGAAAATATCTCGTAGAACTTGACCGATAATGGGTGCTCCTCTAGGTTAAGTTATCACTTGCTGGAATTCATGGAAAGATGAGTGATAAGGTTAATTAATTTTCTACGTTTTCCGTACCTCGACGAATTTCGTGTTACACCTATTTATTTATTAATCAATTATCGACTAATGATGTCTATATATAGTCTTCTTCAATAACATCACTTTGATCAAAATTATGGAGGCATTTAATGATTACTGTAAAGAGTGTTCCGCGCATTTTCTTACGATGTTCTTTTTCAGTTTTTGTCGTAAATGCGTTGATGATAGGAAATAAAAGACGATTTAGGAAACACGAAACAAGAAATTCTAATAATTAAAACGAAGCGAGTGTCAAATTAAAAGCTTAAAATAGCAATATATGAAGAATGCCAATAGGAAAAGGTGTTGCATTAGAAAATATATAGTACAAGGATACCAAAAGGATATACGTGAGTACGATATTATGTGTGATCAGGAGATGATAGCAGTAGGAAGAATAATAAACAAATAAATGTACGAAATACAAAACAGATATTCCAAGGTATTATCAAATTAAGAATATGTTTAAACTACCTAGAATTTTTATAAAAACGAATTAGAAATTTGAGGATGTCAATTTTTAGATACAGTTTGAACTACGAAGTTCTCAATATAAAACTATATCTGTCCCTTGAACCAGAAGCAGATATGAACTAATATCCTGGCGTTTGAGGACCATGTGAAATCATCCCCAAAAAAGATTGAAAAACCAACAACAGGTACCACGAAGTATTTTCACGCGAGGAAAGGGTAACCAGATATGTTAATGCCTCGTCGATCGGGCAAGTACGCATTACTGGGCAACGTGTAACGTTATCGGGACAGAATTACCCGCTCTAGAAATGGTGCGTGGTCCGGCTTCCCTTTTAAATGTGTTATTTCGCTGCGACCGCTTGAAGCTCGTCCAATCACGCACGAACGCAACAATGAATAGCGTCGAAATAGAGGGATAGAGGAGGCTGAGACCGGTGATTTGACCGGGGGCAAACAGCGAGCGCGCGCGCGCGTGCGCGCGTGGATCGAAACCGCCTTGGGCATCCTCTTCCGCATTTCATGTGGACGGAAAAGGAAAAATCCGGCGCGTCGAACGATCTGCTAGTTATATACTATAGCCGGACGAACGTTTTTCTCATGGGGTACACTCGGCCAGCTGCGCTAATGGTCAGGACCATACGCGGTGACCTCGTAGAATGTCGAGATAGTCGAGTGCCGCGTTAAATTCGCGATTTAGCCGAGCCGTTCGATGGAAAAATGTTAATGGAGACATCGACTGCTTTTCGGTTATCGAATCTCTCCATGTCGCGGACCGTCGTCTCGTTTAGTTTCTATCCTCCGGTTGTTTAACCCGGTTGGATCTTCGTACGAGGCAAAAATGTCGATGGGTAGAAGGAGGAAGCGGAGTTTTCGCGTGTTTCTCTATCACAGGGCACCTTTTCCTCTCTTTTTAGCCGGGACAGGCTGGTTATCGAGCGAAGATTTCGCAGCCCGTACGTTTTCCACGGCGTGTACACACAGTAACGTAGCCCGTATTATAGCAATTCAATAATAAATTGTAGAACGCTCGGTCGTCGCATTATGCGCCGGTAATCACAGTAATAAGCAGTTCTAAAAGTAACGTAAGTACGTTGTAGGTAGTAACGAGTGAGCCGTAATCTCGGGGATGCCCCTATCTTCGTACTTGAAGCCATCGAAGGGAATCATAAGGAGGGACAGAGAGGGAACGAGAGGGAAGGATAGTTGGTGGAAAGATTCTGGGACGACGGAATGACAGAGAAAGAAGCGTGTGGAGAAGGAAAGGACGATCCTGTGTAACGGCAGGGAGGAGGAGGGGTGGAGCACGAAAGGAGGAGAGAAAAGGAGAGTCGAGAAGAGGAACCCATGGGCGTCATCCATGGTGCGATCTGGAATCGGCATAATTTACAACTCTCGCAGGAAATTGAGCCGCGTCGAGTCGATGTTAAAGTCCGCCGTGAGCACGAGTTGCGATCATAGGTTCCTACCTTTCCTTCCGGCAGTAGATCACGCCCGATTGATGAATTTCTGCCCGTTGGATAGGAAAGGATCACCGATTCATCCCGTTCTATTTATATTTTCCGCCGTCTTCGTTAGTAATCTTAATTGTGTCCCAAGATCGTTCTTTATCCGTAGACCAAGGAACACGAATGCAGCGAAAATAAAGGGGAAGCAATCGAGTGCAATTTCGGGGATTAACAAGGACTTTCCAAACGGTCTGAATAGATCTTCGACCCGTTGATCCAACATCTTTCGATCCAGGAAGAACATCCTTAGATTCAGCTATCGGATTAGAGAAAAATAGTCGAGGCGAACCGTCGGGGAATTGAATTAAGTAGATCTCTAAAGTTTGATGCTCTTGTTACTATCACACGATAAAGAAGAGCGG